GTTTAAAAATTGTGTCTACCTGATGTCGACTCGTGAAGCCGTGCACTCTCCAGAAGGTTGTTTTGTGGAGAGGTCCGAGGACCACCCTCCACAACACTCGCCACAACTTGTGTCGATGGTGTGGCGAGCAGTCTGACATATTTTTCATTTGCCAAGGTTGGCGAGTAAGTGCAACCAAGCGCCTAGTCGCCAAACTTGGCGTATGGAGAGTAGTGGAACCAGGCCCTAAAAGACCAAAAATATGGGCCTTGCTCTGCCACTCACCACATGCGCAAAAGAAAAAAATATGGCCGCAGTGTATCTTCCTACTTCCCATGTTTCGGCGGAGGATTTATTCTCGTTGTGCACGTTTGGTGAGTGGCCGAGCAATGCCCTCAAAGAATTGTGCCGCGTGCTCCACGGAAGATTGGGCTCCCCTCCACTACTCTCCAAATGTGCACAATGAGAATGAATCTTCCGCTAGAACATGGAAAGATACACCGCCATATTTTTGTCTTTTGTGCACGCAGAGAGTAGTAGACCGTCGCCCTAAGAGGCTCGTGGCCTGCCAAAACCAAAAGGCAAAGTTATGGCGGTGTGGCTTTCCATGCTCCAAGGGATGAGTCATGCCCATTTTGCACATTTGGAGAGTGGTGGACCATGGCCCAGTGGCACGCTTGAAAAGAAGAAAACGACGGACTGTGAAACCAGGGCAGAACCCCGTAATACTATAATGACAATAAAAAGGCCTGAAAGGCCATCCTGTCCAGCTTCGACAGGTAATTGATTTGGTTGGGCTTACACAAATGGTTAAGTGCACTCTACAGATTGGTGTAAAGTATGGTTGAAATGGCCCTTTGGTTTTCCTATAAATGAGGGTGAAAACACAGGCAAATACAAGTCCATCTACCGCCTTACCCCCAACATAATGCACCCTAAAAATGAATGTATACAAGCTATATTTCCGGACAGATACAGCCAAAATAAGGGTGCGTTGTGTTCGGGGGAAGACGGTAGTAGCCGCCTCCTTAAAACACGGGGTTTGGGGCAGGGTTGCAGGTCGACGAAATAAAAATGAAAAAAGAAAGAAAAAAAACAAAACAAAAAAACAAAACAAAAAAACAAAACAAAAAAACAAAGTGTTTCGAATCCACGGACGTAGGGGAAGGCCCTCACGATGGTGGCACGGAACACCAGTGCTTTGATGAATGTATCTGGCCACTACGTGGGGTTCTAGTTTGCCTTTGTTTTTTTTTTTTTGGTTTTGGTTTCATGTGGTTGCAGTGTGCTGACGTAACTGTCTGAATGCTGTAGCATCCTGTATCCGCCCTTAATCACATCATAAGGTTTTTTTTGTTGTTGTTTGTCTGCTGCAGGCCCTCACTGACGTCACAGTCACATGAGCACCTCACAGAATGTATCTGGTGGTTATTATGGCGACGGGGAAGTTTCTTTTTCTTCTTTTTTTTCTTCTTTTTTTTTTTTTTCCTTGTTGCTTCTTGGACGAAACTGCCCCGGCTATGTCTTTGTTAAACCCAAAGAATGCATCTGGTTAAGTATACATTATTCCGCGAGTGATGAGTTAACCCGGCCGGCGTACCCATATGCCGGAAAAATCCGTGTGACTGTCTGACGAAAAAAAAAAAAAAAAAAAAACTGCCCCGGTTCCGCATAACTCGGTGCGCAGTGAAAAGCAGGCTCGGCAAAAACAGGGTCCGAGGAACTGGTGACCCACGGCAGCGACCATGCGGCACAGGAGCCGGGAGGAGGGGAACAGGGCGAGAGGGAATGATCTTCTGTTTGCTATTCCAGAACATGCAAGCATATACAAAGCAGGAGAGTTACTTGTGTGAGATGAGGCAGATAACTCACAGAAGCTTCACATAAGTCTGCTCAGTCAATCCCCTGCTTTCGCAGGGTAATCAATGCTGGCAGGAATGACCACTCACATACAGCTAGGAGATTCCACATCATTCCACATTATTTTCGTCATATGTAATGGGACGCTGGACCCGATTTCCAGCAGGTGTTGCTCCCCACCAATAGATGGAGCCTCTCCTCCGGTGGTAGTGCTGACTGCTCTTATCAGCAGCACTATCTCCGAAAGGGATGGTTTTGAAAAAAAAAATAATAATAAAAAAAAAAGATGAGGCCATACACAGAAATTGCCCAGGAACAAACCGGGAGCAAGCATACACAAAAGAGGAGAGAGACTGAGGGAAGGAAAGAGAGGGAAGGAACGCAGAGAGTCTGAAGTCCAGTATGGCGACGGGCAGAGCAGTTAGGAGATGAACGAATGGACAATTGAAATTGTTAAATATCAAATGAACTACGAACGTGAAAATTCTCGCCACACAGAGAGAGAGAGAGAGAGAGAGAGAGAGAGAGAGAGAGAGAGAGAGAAAGAGAGAGATGAGAATGCAGGAAGAGCAGGGACGGTGGCTGTTTTCTGTTGGGAAGTCGTTTGGCCCCCGCCCCCCCCCATACATGGACTATGTTCGCCCATGTGCATCTGCCACGTGTCACATTTGCTTCTACTTTCTATAGCAAGTTATCGGTTCCCAGCAGGTGCTGCTCCCCACGAATAGACTGGAGCATTTGTTTGAAAAAAAAAAAAAAAAAAAGTTACATTCTGAGCTAAGTGCGTTACTTTCTCAGCTGTTCGTTTTCATCTTTTTCTTACAACCTCGACTGCCATTGTCGAGATTCTTTGGACTTTTTTTTTTTTTTCTTCATAATCTCAAGTTATAAACAGTTTTGTGAGTCCCAATGGTTATGATTATCACTGGAGCATTTGTTTTTCGTTTTTTTTTGAGGCAATGGAGGCCGACACACTCCACACTCTCTTCGTTATGGCCAAGGGACCCCGCGACAGCGGCACTGTCATTCAGAAGGATATCCGATCCTCCTTATGCCCCTCAGCCACTCTCGTCCCTGGCAGATTGCATCTTCCACCTGTCCTGTCTCCATAATCTCCCTCCCGGACAAACGGAATCCATCCCACCCTCTGCGGTTTGTCATTTTGACAACGATGATGATGATTTCACGACCGTGATGATGATCACGACGATGATAATGATTACGACGGGCGAGTTTTTCATGACTCCTTGGCCTCCTACTCCTCTGGCCTCTCCTGGTCGCCGTCAGCCTTCTCCTGCTCCTCCTCTCACTTCTCCCCTCTCGACTTCTGCCTCGTCCCCCTATTCCTACCCCGGGCGACTGGGCCCCTACTGATCTGGGTGTTGTTGGTTCAGATGTGTTCGTCTGTTTGCACATACGGTCAGAGAGAAGGGGAGGGGGGGAGAGAGGG